GCAACCATTTTTTAATTACCTTCAGTAAGATTTTACTTGCATGTGATATTAATGATATTGTTCTATAATTTCCACATTCTGTGGGATCACCTCTCTCTGGAATGGGCACAAATATGGATCTCTTCCAGTCAGTTGGCCAGGTAGCTGTCTTCCAAATCTCTTGTCATAACCTAGTGAGGGCCTCCAGTGGGGCATCCATTTGTTGAAACATCACAGTGGGTATTTTGCCAATTCTTGGAGCCTTGCTCTTCGCCAATTCCTTCAGTGCAGCCTTTCACTTCTTCCTTCAATACCATTGGTTCTTGATCATATGCCACCTCCTGAAATGGATGAAGATCTACCAGGTCTTTTTGGTACAGTGATTCTGTGTATTCCTTCCATCTTCTTGTGATTCTTCCTGCATCATTCAATATTTTGCCCATAGAATCTTTCAATATTACAACTCGAGGCTTAAATTTTTTCCTCAGTTCTTTCAGCTTGAGAAATGCAGAGCATGTTGCTTCCTTTTGGTTTTCTAACTCCAACTCTTTGCACATTTCATTATAGTAATTGGCTTTGCCTGCTCTAGCTGCTCTTTGAAATCTTCTGTTCAGCTCTTTTATCTTGTCATTTCTTCCATTTGCTTTATCTACTCTCCACTCAAGGACAAGTTTCAGAGTCTCTTCTGACATCCATTTTGGTCTTTTCTTCTTTTCTTGTCTTTTTAATGAACTCTTGCTTTCCTCATGGATGATGTTCTTGATGTCATCCCACAATTCTTCTGATTTTTGGTCATTGGTGTTCAATGCATCAAATCTATTCTTTAGATGGTCTCTAAATTCAGGAGGTATACATTCTAGGCCATATTTCGGCTCTTGTGGACTTGTTTTAACTGTCTTCAACTTAAAGTTGAACTTGCATATGAGCAGTTGATGGTCTGTTCCACAATCAGCTCCTGGCTTTGTTTTGGCTGAAGATATTGAACTTTTCCATTGCCTTTTGCCACAGATGTAGTCATTCTGATTTCTGTGTATTCCATCTGGCGAAGTCCATGTGTATAGCCACCGTTTGTGTTGTTGAAAAAAAGGTATTTGCAATGAATAAGTCATTAGTCTTGCAAAATTCTATCTTGCCATCTCCAGCATTATTTCTATCACCAAGGCCACATTTTCCAACTACTGGTGATTCTTCTTTGTTTCCAACTTTTGCTTTCCAGTCACCAGTGACAATATATCTTGATTGCATATTCAGTCAATTTCAGGCTGCAGAAGTTGATAAAAACCCTCAATTTCCTTATCTTTGGCTTTGGTGGTTGGTGCATAAATTTGAATAAGTCATATTAACTGTCTTCCTTGTAGGTGTATGGATATTATCCTATCACTGACACCATTGTACTTCAGTACAGATCTTGAAACATCATTTGTGATGATGAATGCCGTGCTATTCCTTTTCAAATTGTCATTCCTGGCATAGTAGATCATGTGGTTATGTGATTCAAAATGGCCCCAACCAGTCCATTTCAGCATACTAATGCCTAGGATATCAATCTTTATGCATTCCATTTCATTTCTTAATGCATTTTATTGAAATATA